ATATGGCACCCTCAGCGAAACTGCGGATAATTTTTGGGGAGGATGATGTCCACAAACTACTTTTACCTGCAGGCATCCCAAGCACACTTCAGGACCTCAATGATGTTCTTCGAGAGACATTTGATATTACAGGACCATTCACTGTTATGTACCAGGACATGGATTTCGACGGTCAGTTCTTAACTTTGACCTCGATTGAGGAAGTACAAGATAAAGCTAACCTCAAAGTAGTAAAAACTGAACCAGTAATCTTGAGTCTCACTACTGTGGACATGTCAGAAGTCGAATCTCCAGTTCCACTATCTACAGAAGCAAGCTCCTCCTCATCTGTATGCGACACAATCCTGTTGTCCTCCCCAGATGAGAGTGGACCATCCTACAGGTCTAAGCCATGGCCATTTAAGTTTGAAATACCAGACTTCTCTTATGATATAGACCTTGCACTGGAAGCAGGAAAGCAAGCTTATGAAAATGATGGCACACTTTTGAACAACCCAAGCGTAACTAGTAGCATTCTTGAGAAGCTTGCAGAGACTATATTTGGCTTCACAGCATATCCAACTGGTGTCCAGATTTTAGCTGTTGCTGAAGCCTTGGTAGCAAAATACCCATGCCTCAAAGAGCCAGGGTCTTTTAATGGCCTAAATGGTTGGCAACGGAGGATAAAGTATAAAATGGGCAACTACAGGGCAAAGTTAAGAGGTCGCCAATTAGCCATTCCAGAGCTCGAGGTGAACACACTGAAGAGACGATGCTCCAGTGAAGAGGGTTCACTTAAAGGCTTTAAAAGGGCAAAAAAAGCTGAAGTCAACTATCTGCCACCACTGCCATTCGGTGAGACTGAGGAAACCTTAGAGATGGAGAGACTAGATTTGCTGGAGGAAATGAAGAAGAAGCACAATGAGAGGGCAATTAATGAGAAAATGGAGAAGTCTTTCGCTATGAGAAGAAAAGAGGTTGTCAAGGATTGCCCCGCAATCCAAGACCTCTTAGAGAGGTGGCCTTCTCTGTTCTGTGAAAATCAGGTAAATCCAGTTCTTGTTCATGCAGCAACTAAGTGTACGTGAGATCTCATGAGTCATCTTTGACATGATTTTGTGTTTTTATCTCTCATTTCAGATCAAAGAGGAGTTTAAGCGAATAACCACAATTCATCTGGAGCGAACGTTTTTGTCCAAATTGGAACGTAAAACTGTGGACCTATTTTTTCAAACGCCTCACACCTGTACATTCTTCCGCCGAGAGCTTGAATAATAGAATAGAATACCGGCGGACTAATACCGTACATCACAGCACATCTAATACAAGTCAATGGAGTTGGACAAAAACTACAATAAAAACCAGTTG